CGCCGCAAGCTGGGCCTGGCTTCTCCCTTAAAGCCAATACAAGCACTGGCAGTGCCCGTCCTGGGGTTCCATTCCTTCAACTGCTCCAGCATAAGGCGGCTCCCAGGAAGAGTTACCTTTTCCCACTCCACTTCCAAAGCCGTTCACACAGGTAACATCCTTCAAAGGGAGCAGACAAGCCTGCTGCAGGCTCTTCACTACGGATCCTCTCTCCATTGCACTACTCCAGTTTCTTTTCAAGATTTATTAGAGGATGATTTATCTCTAGGAAGCTATGATGGAAAGATAAACCAAATGCCACGTGAACTATTAATCCTTTGGGGCTTCAATATAATAAAGTACTGGATCCCCCCCCTTCCCTTTACATTGGAGTTGACCCCTATGGAGTTTTAAATACCCAAGTCTGAACAATTCAAAGTAGTAAGTCTTCTACAAGGTAACAGCAGAGATCATTCGGCTGAGTAAAACTTGTCCTTAAATCCCAAGAAAGAGCAGCTGTCAGTGACACCACTGCACTATACGGATCGAAGCAGCTGTACCTGGACTAACAATTACACCTCTGAAGACGACAATACTCAGATGGTCGGTGAGATGGACGATTATTGTAACACAATGATCAGATATGAACAGAAAGGTTTGATCTCATCCTGCAGCCCATCTCGGACAAGGACCTGTTTGCACAAACAGAACTAGTATTTCTAATTGAGAGAGAGTGTCCAGGAGAGCTCCGAGAAGCCACCAGCAGAGCTCGAACCACTCCTGAGGAGACAGCGCTGCCTCACGCAGCAGACAACCAGCAGCCTCCCACCAGTCGGCCAGAATCGTACGTCCTGAGAAGTGACAAGAACAACACCCCCCACCCCCCCCACCCCCAAAAAAAACCTAAGGAAAAGCCGAATACAAAAGCCCTAGAGCTCATTTAAGACAAACTAAGGACGACTCGTTTGTTATCTTTATTTTCCAATAGTACATTGAAACAACTTCTCAGGACTAACCTCCCCAGGCAGTTTGGCCATGCAGAAAACAGTTCCTAGGTTATACAGATCGCCCCGGACAACACGTGCGAGGGGTGGCGGCTGTCCTCTAGACCGGAGAGGGGACGCTGTAGGGGGGGGGTGGCAGCTGGAGTCACGCACAAGCACGGGGCGCAATGGCAGCGCTACGGGGGTGTCGGCGGAGGTCACCCACCGGGCTCCTGGGTGGCGGTACACAAACAGCTTCGAACCCTTTCTTCTCAGAAACATCTTCCTAGCTGCGAATGATCACTGAACTAGAGACCCCTCCTGTGGCTAAGACGTGGAATCGCACGTCTAACGCTCCCGTCAGAGCTGCATTTTGTGCCTTTGCTAATTAAGATGCAGGAAAATAGGCGCAGGATACCAAAGCATGCGCTCAGGAGGTCACGAACACATCCCGTGGCCGTGCACGACAGAAGCACAAGCCACAGGACCTCCGAGAGCCTTAAGTTTGGAGGAGCAGAGCACGCAGTGTTCTATTCGATCAAAAGTCCTTCCCCGCAATAAACCAATTAAAACCAGAAAGCTCCAGCGTTCTCCCAGCTGGCCACAGCCCATGCCGTTAGTTCCAAGACTTGAAGGAGCTACTTCATGAAAAATCTGACTTAATTTCAACAGCGTCTCAAGACACGCAGATGCCAGACTGTCTGTGTTTATCCAACTATGACTTAAAAGCCCTTCCCTGAAGCACTTCTGGTGAATGCTTTATCTACCGATTCTGCAGGTGGGACCTGACCTTGAATCTTCCACAGCAGTTTAACAGCACAACTTTTCTATCCATGTTAGAAAAGGGAGCTCAGCAGTTCTCCAACTTTAAAAGCATTTGCCCTCTTAAAAACCAGATTAAGAAAAAGTGTACTATATCATTTGAAACCATTACATAGCTATTTCTACCATCTTTTTGATGCAAGCATGGATTTTACCTACTTTAGGCAAAAAAGAAGAGAAAACGTAGCTGCTGCTTGCAAGCTGCATGTATTAGGGTGCTTCTAATTCCCCAGACAGAAAGCCATCCTGCAGCTCTCCGCAGGGAAGTCCACGCTCACCGACAGGAACTCGGTATAAAAGCTCAGCCACTGCAAAGTGAACGTTTCTGATTCTTCTCCAACTCCCCGAAAGGACCCTGCGGTCACGCTGCCCCTTGGCAACGACAGGCCACCCATCGCCTTTCTGTACAGGTGGCAGGCTGGGGTTAGGCATTTGCGGTCCCTTCTACGCCTGCCGCACGTGGCTGCAAGCGCTTCCACAACCCAGCTTTGTGCTCGAGCCCACAGCGTTACTAATCTACTCATTTAACACCTCCACAGTACCAGAGATGAAAATGGCATAAGCACGTTCAGCATTGAAACCGCCGCCGGATGAACTAGGAAAAAAAAAAAACCCTTCAAGAATCATAAATATCTTTAATGACAAGACTGGTAAGGCAAGTTATGAAAAAACCCAAGATTTTGCTTTAAGATCAGGTGTAACAGTTGCTTTGAAATATGGAAGTCTCTATGATAGGAAGCACGAGTACTCAGTGGTGAGCTACTAAGACTATGGACCTATGCTGTGTTCACTACTAAACGGCTATTTTATACTCTTAAAAAGGTCATTCACCACCTAGAGAACAACCTGGGGACGTCTCTCTCCTACTAGAAAGCATACTGCTGTCACAGAGGCTCTGCTAGAATTAAGACACCAATTTTAAGTGAAAACCCCAACAGTTCTGTATCAGCACTGGAAGCACAAATGGAGCTTTTTCAACCGTGGGTGACCTCAACACGTACGAGCTTCGCACGGCAAGAGCCAGAAAAGCTTCGCTCCCACTTAGGCTCCTGAAAGAAGCTGGCAGGTTAGCAGTAGCAAGCAGCTCCTAGTCAGGCGTTTAAGTAGGAAGCGCTGGATGCCGAGCTGCTCGCGTTCTGACTTGATGACAGGTTTATTTCTGCCTGACAGTAGGAGATCTGCGCTGACATGAAGCTTTTCAAAGGTGTTTGAACAGTGAGAATCTTCAGATACACGAGAACTACAGAAAAGTAAAGAGCCCATCGATTTAAGGGGTGAAGCATTTAAAGAATCCAACAGTTTTTCTGTTTAAAATAGTGAATTAAAAAACCAGACAGCATTCCAGCAGGTTCTCTCCAAGGAAAATCCTTCATTTTGAGAGTTGTGTAGAATTCTATGGTCCATGTAGAATTATTTCCTTTGGAAACAAAGGTCTATAAGCATGGCCTTCACTGAAACTTATTCCCACTGCAGAAAACTGAACACCTTCCTGCCAATTTTATAGGAACAAAAATTTTCATTTCTTTCAGTGTCAACGACTTCCTACCCAGCATCCTTCACAACGCCAAGGCCTTCCAAACACCCCCTTGTGTAGTTCTAACAAGTTTGATCTAAGAGCAAATGGTATTAGGAGATATTTTGTACCAGAAACTAAAAATAATAAATAGCTGTCACGTTCGGATTCCCTATATTCTGATTTTCAGCAAAAAGGCCTCACAAGGACTCGTTACTACGCTCACCCTCTCGGGAAGAACAGTTCTAACGTCATTTCATCGGCAGCAGCCAGCTACACCGGGCATACGCAAATCATAATGCAGAGGATTTACTTAAAACTCCACCCCTCTCCCCCTGCCATACATAGGACAAATCTGCACTTTGAGCCAACTTTAAATACAGAATAATGAACCAGTAATTACCTTGTAAGTGAACCAACACTAGTTTGTATTCTTCCCTGAATAACACGTGGGGGTTTTTGCAGAAGAGAAAAAAAGGACTGCTACAGAAACACAGCAACATTCAAACCCTTTAAAACAAAAGGTAGATTATTTAATGCATTAACGATGTTAATCTGAAGATAAATAAATCCACAACAGACTTTTAAGTTTCTTTTGAGATTTCCTTTTTCTTTGCAGAGAATATTTCTGATATTATACAGTACTGAGAGGGTGTTCTTTTATTTTCTTAATGTCCAGGTGAAAAGCAAAGCTCAGTTCTCTCTGCTCTCTTCGTGGAACTCCTCAATGCCCTATTCCAGGCGTGATTCTTTCATAAGCTTTTACTTGAAAGCGGAGTGGCGAGCAACATTAATTTCAAGAATAACTGGATGGTTTGGTCCCTGAGTCATCTTCTTGAGAGCCCATACTCTGGAAGGGAGAGAGTTATTTCTTTTCAAAAACAGGTCTGAAGGTTTACCTTAGAGAGAGACAGTTCTTTGAAGTTAACAGGTAGGAAAATAAAGTGCATACGAAATAATGTGCACTTCCTTTTTGTTTCAAAGCATGATGTTTATGCAGGTATGATGAATATTATGCAATTAACACCGACGTTCAGTGCAACACACTCACTGCACGGAATCTCTCACGTACGCTTACAAGACACTGAATCCCTTACCTTCTGCACAAACTGAGGGTTCACAGTGATCTCTTGATCCATGGCTTTCAGTCGTTCATCAAGCTCTATACATTTCAGCATCTTAAAAATACATAAAGTTGATTACTTTGTCCAGTTTGTACACAATCTTCGAGACACTTCATGGCTGTGCTACGCTGAACCAGTAACTTTTGCCATCACAGAAGTTCCATGTCAAAATGTTCTCATCCCCCATCTCCCAAACCAAAGTGTCAGACATTTTGTAATCCCTTATTTTGATCCATGTCTTCCTAACAATCCTTTTTAACCCCACTGACAGACAGTCCCATGAGGGTCAAGCACCTCAACCTACAGGCAGGTTATCGACAGCCAGTGGAAGTGATCCTTAAAGTCTACAACTCTAAAAAACCCACACTTTCTAATCCATTCACATCACCAACACCAAGCAGTCCATCTCCTGAAACATCTCAAGCTGTAAACAAGATACAACAGGGAACACATTGACAGCAACTGACCATCAACCCAAAGCCTTTAAATACCGGTACTGCGGAACAGTCAAATAATGGCTCACAGTCCTCACTCACTACGTGCAAGTTACCTACGCTGGCTTCTCCCAGCAGCTCTCCCATTACAGATTAAGGTTCTTCCGTAGGAATTCCAAAAGCAGATAAAATCTTAAAAGATTTACCTCCTGATCAATGTTATGAAGCATAGCTGGATTGTTATATTTTTCAGGATTATCATGGAAACAGACCATACCATCTTTCTGATTAATACTTGCAAAGATTTCACCATCTTCTATCTGGAATGAGAGAGGGTTTAACGTAAGGTATGACTAAGCGCAGAATTTCAGGTAACTACAACACACAGACTTCTTGTGGGATTGTCTTCAACTTGTTCGCTTTTTACTTCCTAACAGCTTCCCAAAGACAAACCATGCAGGCCTTCTCTTTCAAGATTTTTTGAGAACAGTCTAAACACCACAGCAGACTGACCGCGTTTCCTCCACCCCGAAGAAGAACCGTTCTTCAGCCATTCAGAACGTGCCCTGCCAACCCAAACACTTAAGAGTCTTAACATTGGGTCAGTTTTTAAACTTAGGATAGTTTAGCCAAGTCACAAGTCTTACCATGTGGAGGACATATTTTTCTGCTTCTTGGGGCCCCGACAACTGCACTCGACTTGCCATGTCTTGTAACGACAACGTTAAAAATGTCTGAAATGTAGAAAGTATCCATCCATTAAAACTAGTTGTTAAGAACTTTCCCCATCAATCCTTCATGACCCATCCAATCTTACTTTTTGAAGTCTGATGGGAAGAAACAAGTGGAACACCTAGTTATGACTTGTAAAAGCACCACGAGAGTGGAGTCAGTTCTTCCTCCAAAGACACAACTTGTTATAATGCACACGGACCAAGCTAATGGAGTCATCGCTCCGTTTCTGCAATTCCTTTTTACCCCAGACACACTCCTGCCCATCTCCAACCTCCGCCCTCACCTTTTTACACAAGATGATCGTCCGTCCCTTGAATTTCCTTCAAGAGATGCACGTATTGCGTTCCTTCTGAGGTGAGTTCTACTGCAACAAACATCATCAGAGCTCACCAAAAAGAGCTTTCCCCGATCACCTTTAAGGATTAATCTGCTCTCTAAGCTGAAGGAGCACACCACTCCACTGCTTCTGGCTTTCCTTTTACCTCAGACACTTCCAAAATCTGTCCTATTCGCTCACTCTTTTCTCATGAAGTAGCCTGTGAAGTTCAGTTTTCCTATTTTTCGACTAGAGATGAAGGTCATCAGGTAGCAGCGCTCACCACTTCTTTGATTATGTATGAAAATCTCATGGGCAAACCCCTTGGACGGACAGACCTATTGAACCGTCCTTTAAATAACGCCTAAGAAGTCAACTGAATCGGTTTTCCATATAAAGCATTTCAGCCTCATTTGTTTCAGAGACACAAATCCCAGTTTAAGCCATTTCTCCATGAAATTATTACATCATCCTTTCGCTGTGAATTGAATACATTTCAGAGAGAGACTCTTTGAGAAAAACTGACCGCAATTTCTCAGCAAAACCACCCCCCTACCTCTTACCTTGGTTAGCCTCTGAATATTCTTTTTGTAGAGAGATGACAAGCATTGCTTAACCAGCCCCATATTGTTATCCCTTGTGAATGTTTCACTGTGTTTGTTCACCAGATTTCGAAGCTCTGAGGGTTTATTGGTTGAATAAACTTGCGCTAATTCATGGTAAGCATTGCTAAGGGGCTGCAATCAGAAAAAACGAGAACCCTTCTTAACGAACAGTCTTCAACCAGCCTCACAAAATCTATGCACTGCTTCAACACTAGAAGCTGTGCAAGCATCCAAGTGAGTAGCTCAAGCACCTCGTAAGAAACCTGTGATGCCCACACGTGGCTTTATGGCAGCGACAGAGCCTCGTACGCTAAATCCATATGACTGCAACGTGAGATTTGGTAAACATCATGCCAGGACCTCTGCATGACAGCTCCAGTGACACCAGTGTACCAAGCAAACTGAATTCCAGGGCAGCAGCGTATGGACTAGTCACTGCCCACCCATCGTATCTGTTGTACCCTCTAAGACACTGTCATCCTCGCCCACAATGCACCACAGCGCGGACCACAGCGAGTCAGAGGGTGAAGACTTGTTCACCTGAATTACTTTAAAATGGCAATTGTTGGAGCTTGCTTATTAGTATCTGAAGTTAGAAGGAGGTTTTTGGAACTCTTTAAAATTCCAGTCACAAATCAACAAACTCGGTGTTAAATAAGAACTAACGAACTTTTAAAATCGTGTTATTTACCTAGAATCAGAACTCCCGCTAGCAGTTTGTTTTCCACCCTATAACTCCTAATCAGAATGCTTACAGACTCCAAACTTGCAGCTTTTTCAGATGCTGTTATTCTTTATAAAGCTGGAGTTTTGGAATAAACTATTTTGGAATAAACTATTATATAAAATATTTTGCATTTCATACTTCAACTAGATGAAGTTGATTGTTTTTACAAGGACACTGCATATCGAAAGCCAAGTGAAATCTCAGTCTTACTTCAGTTCTGACATAAAATGCCATCAAGGGATGTGCAGTATCAGTGAGGAGAATATCAGTAAGTACTATTCAACCCTAAAGCTTTCCCAAATTCCAGTTTAAGAACCTGTATTGCCAATATGAACAACACAGTTTGTTTGTAACAGATGTAGAAGTTGCCAAACAATCTTTCGCTCCGGCATACCAGAAAGGCAGCAAGAGGTGGTACCCTGGCACGTTGTGCATTCCTTCCCCTGATCTGCAACGCTAAACAGTAACATCATGTGAGGGCAGGAAAAAAATCATTTACAAATTCCGATTAGTTGTGCTATTATTCAGCTGTGTTTGCAAGACTTACCTTAATGAATCTACCAACTATCTGGGAGGTGTATTTTGGTAGCTGCTGAACTTTGCCAAGTAGTATCAAGGAAACTAGAATATACTTTTTATACGATTCCAACATAATATGACTGACTGCCATGGCTGGAGTAGTTATTGCCTAAGCAAGAAAGAAATGGAATAGAAGTTTAGTGTACTTCCTGGTAGATCCTGGTACCTACTGCATTAACAAAAATCTCAGTTTAAGCTGCATGCAGAAAGGATACACTGAAATTCACCTTCGAGCATTAAAGCTTAACTAACTTCTGTCAAAATTAATTACCCAAAAATATCCTAAAAAAGTAAATTCTATACAAGCTACTCAAAACATATCATGTTACAGCGATGCCTACCTTAAAATAACCCTGTTCAGATCAAATCAAATCTTCTTTCCTCGATATACATCTAAAGTTGTACTAGAAGTCACCGGTAGCTACTTGTTACCGGGAATGATTGTACAGTTCCTGTACGACCTGGATTTACACAGATCCTTAAAGAGATTTTATAAAGCTATTACATCATCAGCTCTCATATTTAAGTATGCTGAAAGAGGTCTGCAGAACAGGGAAAAGGGATTTTAGTTCACTAGGACACTGCTAGCTGACCCTTGTTTACAGAAAGGAAAAATGCCGTACCGGTTTATTTCGCCTATTTGACAGCACTTCCCTCTCATACTCACAGAGTTTTCCCAATTTTGCAATTTGCTTTCACAGAGAAAGTAAAAGCAAACAAAATATTGTCATAGCCTCGAAGAAGTGTAACTCCCCTCATAAAATTAGCAAAGGTCTCAGCAAAGCCACTGAACTATTTTTTATTTCAAGACCACACAATTCTGACCTGTCAGCCTGTGAACTGTGGCTATGCTAGCAGTAACAAGCAGGCATCTGAAAAATATTTATAGTGAGATAAATTTAACATCAACCTTTGAGTTGCATAGTTTCATGGTGCAATAGTTACTTGGCTGTAAGAGACCTTCTTAAAGGAAAACGCCTCTAAAGACAGTTCGCTTGTTCCCTCGCCTTATACACCACAGAGCTCCACGCGGGCTGCACCTTCCGTAACAGAGCCGACGCTAACCCCGCTCAGGTTTTATGTTTGACTACAACACACACGTGCTGAACCAAAAGCTGCGTGAATGACGACAGCAGCAAAGAGCTGTTAGTAGAATCATGTCCTTAAGAATGAAAATACTTGGCGGCTGCTCGTACTTTACATTAGGTTCATGGCTCCTATCGCTACCCTTGGTGGCAACTCAAAGAAGATCTGTTCTCTCAGTACCGTTACACGTGCTACTTTTGCCTTTCAATCACAGTTTACCATTAAAGTTACCTGTTCATAAAAGTAGAGTGCTCTTTCAAAGTTCTTTAGCCCAGTGTATATCATCCCACCATAGTAGTAGTAACATAAAAAGTGCTTCGCATCATATGCCCCATTCTCTTTACAAATATCCATCATGTCCACATCTAGATACGGGAGGGCAGGTTTAAAGCATTTTGCTAACAAACAGAGCTACAAGAAAATAAATCAAGTTTTCATAAATTAGCCATTTCCATTCAAATTTCCATGAGGAAGAAGTTGAAACTAAATTAACGTAGTACAATTTAGTAAATCTCAATCCTCCAAGAGTGGAAAAAAATGTGCACGTCAGTAGAGCTGTAACACAGGTTATTCATCGTGTCGTGATCTTTGGGAAACTCTCATCACCGACTGTGAACTGTTATAAATTACCTGAATCCTAAAGAAGTTAAGACTTTGACAAAGCTGCTTGACACCCCACGCCTTCCAGACTGCTGGCAGCACTAAATATTGCACTAAACATTCCTCTTCGACCCTAAATCCCAGGAGCCAAGAATGAGACAGAAGTGCAAATCCAGGCCAAAGACACTGAGACAAACATGTCTTTTGTCAAACTTGAGCAAACAGCGTCCGGATATTACACTTATACTGCCCAAGAGAAGCTGTGTGTGACTTTCAGCCCAGAGAGAAGGGATGTTAAAGGGCTTTCAGAAGTCGTCAACAAAAGCAAAGACCTGGGGACATGCACTGAACATTTAAAATTAACAGAAGGGAATTTACTTCAGTATATCATATTGTTTATTATTGGGGAAAAAAAAGAACCCACCCAAACAGTTAAAAGCCATTTCTACATTGCAATTTGTGAACATGCATTTCCCTCAAAGGCTTATAGATATTTTCTAAGCTTTCGGTCTCATAAAAAGCCCTTACGCTCCCCTTACCTGGCAGAGATCTGCGTGTATTGAGGTCAGCTGGTTTGTGTTCATCTGCATCTTGTCTATGGCTTGTCTGAGAATGCTAATTCCTCGCAGGGGCTGTCAGAAATTACATCTCTTTCAGATAATTTCTCATAGATGGCAGCACATTGGATCTTATGTTGACACTTACAAATGAAAAATAACACTAATTGACAGGTTCCGTTAGGTGATAGTTAACTTGAGGTTCCCTTCTTGTAGGATACTGCAGTCTCTCAGAAAATAAGTTTAACCTTGGCTATAGAACTCCTCCTGATAAACTAAATAAAGTCATCAATTCTGCTCCACAAAGCCAACCTCATCGGGAACACAGCAGTTTGTATCGATAAGAAAACCCTTCTTGACTCCACGGCGCTACCTAAACTCCCACCAAATAGCAAAGGCAAGGCTCTCGTTTTATTCCATCGCGACCAGATTCGATCTCTACTTTTATCTCAGGCTAGATTTCACCAAAGTGGCTTGAAAAAGCCAGTACCTCAGCAACAAAAACACTGGTGAGATTTTTTAAACCAGTTTGCTTCACATTTTAAGGCATTTCATTGAGAACATTATGTAACACTGGTGAGAATAACGCTGAAACCAGCACCACCGACTCACCAGCGCTAATAACTTTTGTGGCTTTCTCCTACTCTCGCACCCATTGTTTGAAGAATATCCTCGGTACTACAGATTTCCTAGTTTGTGTGTGAGAGCGTGTTTTTAGGTGACTCTTCCCCCCCCCCCAAATTTATCTTCCTTACATTTTTCGTAAAGAAATCTTAAAATCTTGGGTTCGGGTCACTAGCTCTCAGTAAACTTAACAAGTAAGGAGCTGCACAAAAATACTTAACGTGAAGTTAGTGGCAAATCTTTATGGAGTAAGAGACTGGTAACATCCCCTTTGCGAGCTTGGCCTTGGAGGTAGCTTATTTGTACTGGATGACACTTGCTCACCTGTTTTCTCTCCACAAGGGCATTTGTTAACTGGTGGCACAGGCCAGCAACTAAATGTGGTAAAAAACAAACAAACAAAAAAACAACACAGTGAAAAAATCAGTACCATCAAGCTATCAAAAAACATGTAAAGTCTGTAAGGAAGCTTAACTTACAAGTGTCTGTTGCATATCTAATGTGTTCCCCATTACAAGTGCTGATAAAAAGCTGCACCTGTGAGAATAATGTTTCGAAGTCAGGGATGCTGGGCATAGAAAACTTCACAAACCTAAAACAGACAAACGAATAAACAAAAGGTTTAGCGCTAAACATCTGGAGATGAATAAAAAGCTTCATCTTCCTCGCTCAGTCTCCGCAGACGCGTGAAGATGCTCGCAAACGAATCCAAAGTGTTTATGACAGATGGCCCACGATTTCCCCAGGAGCTGCACAGCATTTGAAAATGGGCTTTCCGTGCACACCCCCACTCTCCATCTAGTGCAAACTGCGATTTAGGACAAACTCTGGCAAACAGAGATCATTTCTCTGGTACAACAGTTACAATCACAACAGAAACGCTGGCTAACGATGAGGAACCGCAATACTCGGCCACACAACCCCTCTGGACACTTTTGCCTGTCCTACAGCCATCTCCTGCTTGCACGTGCTCAACATGCCTCAACTATTAAATTACTACATGTGTATCTCTTGTCAGGAGCTCCTTCTCTTCACTTCCAGTCTCTCTCCGTCTCAGGTAGTTCCTTAGCACCCTCCAGGCTGCAGCCTTGCACTCTGCCGCTTCTGGAAGGTGAACTGTGAGCGGCAGGCAACGAAAACTCCAGCTGCGCAGCCTACCAACGTGCAGCAAAAACTGTTTACTGCTGCTGGGAGGTACCCAGCCCTGCAGCCGCTGCCCACCGTCACGTGCGGGTCAAACCCACCCAGATCCCGACCCACAAGGCTTACGACCGCCCAGGTCACACGCTGCCACCCCCTTCCCCGTCTCTTCAGAGAGTCTCATCCTACCAGCGCAGGAGTTTGCCTTGCCTCAGGGTCAGCCAGGGGACGTTTCCTATACGCTCCACTGGTACCATCTCTTCAAACACTACATTTCACACACTATTTCTTACAAACAGTTGCTTCCTTCCTCCACCTGTTTCAATGACTGTTGTCACATACCCCACGATACAATTCTCCTGCTAATGCAGTACCGATGTCCTGCTTTTTGTAAACTCCAGAGTGTATTTTCATGAGATGCCAGTGAACCGTAACACTAAGAGCATTATCTCTAAGTACTACAGTCATTTCGTTTCAAAAGGGGCGTAGAACAAGTACAACAACTCTGAACTTTCCTTTAAAGGAGAGCTTCAAAGTAATAGCGGAACATGTAGATGCTTCAGTTGCAGTTAAGTACAGCGAGAGACAACATTTTGAGCTTCAGGGCCAAATATCGTTACCCTACCTCAGCATCACCAAGGCAATTCAAGTATTATCTTAAACTACAGACAGCCCCAAAAGCCTCAGCGCTGTCTAGAGACAGATACCCAAGAATGTGATAAGAATCCATGCTTCACTGGAAAAAAAAGTGTTGCTTCATGCTTACAGCTCATAGCACTAATGTCCCGCCAATTAGAAGTTAGTTTCATGCCTTTTTCCTGAACATGTATGGAAAAATACATGTATGGAATAGATGCAGCCTGAAGGAAAACAACCCCCCAATATTACCATTTGACAGTAATGTCATTTACAAGCTCCAGAGGTTTTTCTTCTTTTAAAAATACAAATTTGCCTTGGCACTTTTATTAATAAAACATGCATCACGGACAGAAATGAAGCACCATTCTAAGAAATGCAGATCGAAAACATTTATGTCCAAAAGAAAAACATCTGGGTGACAATTCAGCATGTTGTCCAAAGTTTTAATACTAAGATACTCAGGAGAAAGCAACACTTACAAGACAGCAAGAACACCTAACGAGTGTTCCTGCACATCCAGGGCACCAAGCACTGTATCCAGATGGGAAAGATTTTTTGCTAGCAGTTCTCCGCTTTTATTGATCAGTTCACAAAGCTGGGTCATTTGCCCTGAAATACAAAACATCGTTGTCAAACTCTGACCATCAGAGAACGCTCCCACACTCCCTTACACCTTGCTTCCCTGTACAACCTGAGGAAAGCATAGTACCACCCAGAGAATTTACTTTTCTTTAACAGGCGCTAGTTTTCAACGTGAGAGGGACCCACTGTAGGTTTTCCCCAAGGTGACAGCTAAGCTTCTGGCCGTTGGGATCACAAAGGAGGCGCTCCGAACACCGACACCACAGGAAAACAGCATCGTCTCCCCTCGTTAAAGAGGGGCTTCAGGGTATCGTATCAACGCCAAGCTCCACCAAAGCCAAGCCTACCAAACTTTGACCAGTATACTGCGATGCAAGATTTTGTCTCGTGGATAAATTTACCTGCACTTGTGCCTTCTAGGTGTTATAAGGGAAAAAACAAACCAGTCCCAGAAATAGTTTCCTCCACTTCCTGAAAAAGCCCAACACCAGAGCTGGCTCCTTGCAGCTTCTCAAGGGCCCTATCCACTTTTCAGGTCTGCCCGTTAGCATTTTTTTTGAAGTAGACATTAAAATTCCAACTAAGTACCGACAAGAAAAGTTTTTTTTAAAAAATCTGTTCTTAAATTGACTTTGTATAGTTAAAACTACGGTGTTATTCTATTTATTGTGAGCTATGAACACAGCATGAAAGGCAACTATTTTGAATGAGGAAGGTATGGTAAGCCCCCCCCCCCAAAACCTTACAAAGAAAGCAGACCAATCATCATGAATTGCTTTCAAACTCTTCCTCCCCCTCGCAATTACTTGAACTAAAACTATGTCTTTCTGAAGCAGTCTTGTTTCAATGCTCAATCCTTGCAGATTAGAGAGAAAAAAACAGTGGTTCCCTCACCCTTACAAAAATCTTTATAAAATGAGGAATAGAGCCTCCATTCATAGAGATTTACACTTCCCTCAAGCCTCTGGCCCTTCTCCTTTGAAAAAGAAAACCTGGGAAGCCCTAGCACTGAAACCTTAGCTTGGAAGCGACAGAGGGATCCAAAGTTCCAAATAGGGGACCAGAGCCCAGGAACTCCAGAAACTCATCCCCAAAACTGCTCCGTCCACAGGGAATTAAAACTCCAGGCATAAGCATGGAAAGGAACAGAGCTTGGAAAACGCTCTGTGGTTTGATAACAGTATTCAAGCATCGTCCAACCTTAGTTCTGGAGTCCTCTCTAGCAGAGAAACTCATCGATTCTACAGCTATCACCTAGCATTCCTCTAAAACACAAAGCAGAACACCCCCAAACAACCCTCTACCCACAAACACGCACTGAACTTACACTGCAAGCAGAAAAAACCCCACCAGGCCCAACTAAATGTCCCTTTATGTCACGTCCCACACAGCCAAGTGCTGCTAACCAGAAACCAACACCACCACAAGCACACAGACCCCTCCAGTGTGCAGCCTGTCTGGTGTCTGGATTTACTTTCTCCCAGAGAACGCCTATCTGGCTCATCCCCAACGGGAGAACTTCCATAGTCAACCAGGCTCCCCTTGAACCTTTTGCATCCACAAAACCTTCTAATAAAGAGACTAAGCTACACAAAGACTGATCTTTCACCTGGTTTGTACCCATACCTTGCAGGTATCTGACATCCCCACTAAAAATACTCTATATTTAGTAAGATAAACCAAAGTAAGAGAAAGCTGGAGCTCCACCCGAAAGTAACTGCCAGGGATAAAGCCTGGGGCCATAGAGAAAAGCATCGATTTTTGATCAGTTCCAGGGATCAAACATCCCACGCAGAGAAACACTCAGAACACATTTCAGGAAGCATCACTACAGACAGAAAGTTCAAGAACCAGGAAACGCTGTGCTCACACACAGGAAAATTAGGAGTTTGGCAAGGAAACTAAGGAATTCTAACTACGGTTATTAAAATACTTTCTGAACACTTGGTTATGGCAACTCTGACATACAGTCTCAAGCCTCCTATCGTGCTTTTCTGTGGTGAGGCAGGACGCTTCCGTCCATACTCTACTTTGTCCCCAGGAGGTAACGTTTCTGAAATGTATTTTAAAACACACATGCCACAACCTGCACGCTCACCAGTTCGGTGACAGGCTGGGCTATATAATCCTAGTTAAAGTCCCCGCGATGCCTACTCCTCCCCCCCTTGATTTTCAAGGCTCAAATTTTAGCACGGCCACCGGTGCCGGCTTCATTCCGCTCACCCGGGACCTCCAGCTCCCCAAACCCACTACCTCGCCGCTGCCCTGGGAGAGAAAGCGCGGAGCACCGCGAAGGGCACAGCCGGCCCCTGTCAAACCCCTCCGCGATCCCTCCTCGGCCTCTTCGGCGAGGGGAGCCCTGCATTACA